TTTTTTATGCGAAAAATTTTCCTTAAATTTTCCCCATTGTTGTAGCAATGAAATTCCACAATTTAGACTTTTTCTACCCTCAAGCAATGTTGACCAATCAGATTTAGACTGTATTGTTGGGACTACCTTTGGAGCATTCTTAAAACTCAAGCAAGAGTAACTACTACCTTCAGATAAGATAGATTTCACTGTGCGTATATCCTTCATTAATATTTGCTTCATATTCACCTTTTAGTGTAGCATACCAGTGGTGGAATTAAGTGAGATGAATGTGGATGACGTCTGTATGCTCCTGTCTGCCATATCTGATCTACCACCTAGTAATTGCTCCTCCTATCAAATGCAAGTTCGTCGTCAAAACATCAACGGTCAGGTGTTGTCAGTCTGTGATCTTGCAAAGCTTCGTACTGAATTGCACATGAGTTTTGGAGATTGGCAACTTTTCAACACATTCATCACGTACCTTCGTGGCGTCGAAGTCAGCCTAGCCGATCGGTCAAGAAACAGTCAGACAGCCAGTTTTGCAGGCGATGCAAAATCTTCCCATGGATCTTTGGCGATCTCCTCGCCATATCCATATTCACAAGTCCTTGTCCCTCCTCCGTTTGTCTTTTGCAATGAACAGTCACAGGGACGAGGAAAGAATCTGTTCGATGTACCTGTATTAGTTCAACAGGTACCTGTTGAAAGCAATGTAGCAAATGCACGTCAAAACACGGATCGTACGACTAGTGATTTCTCCTTTGGTAGTGGAACAGATGAATTAGAACTAGCCTGGCGTCGCGATGCCAAACCGGATTCGTTGAACGGAAATTCAAAATATCAGTACACCAGTAAGGAGTCAACATCACGTCAATATGTCGGTCAAGGAAGCGCCATCTGGATGGAACCCATTGATCGACTTAGTAAATCCACTCATGATCTTCGTTCCATAAATACCTCTAGACGACCGCAGAGGCGCCAAATCGCGTCTAGAAGTGGAGAAAGACGCCTTGAACGGAACACTAGAAAGACAGAAAAACAAGTACCCACATCACTGTTTCAGTCGGCATCCAGTGCTTCGGATCATTTGGTTCAGATGGTTCCTGCTTACATCTCGAGAGCTCCAGATTCCAGCGGTGTAATTCCTGTATGGTATCCCACTCTTCCACGTGTGGGTGAAGCTAACAAACTACAACAACCAATAAAAATGAATGAAGGATACTCCTCTGAATCCTCCAGTGCTTCCATGGATGGAACCTACGATTTTCCAAGTGAATACTCAAGTGGAGACCGCCATAGTCAATGGAGACACGTGTATCTTCGTCAGTGTCCTGCCAATTGTCCGCACAGCCATAGAGAGCGCCGTCGAAGGAGAAAGTCTTTGAGATCCAGTAGATCCATCAATCGTACAGTACAGCGTATTTCTAGTCGCAAGAGCTCCATGGACCGATGCAGTCAAAAGAGTGCTGAGGGTTGCACTTGTGACTACTTTCTCTATGAGGAAGGTCAGTCAGCTAGAAGCAGTACTGCTGTCAATCCCTGGACAGCTCATTCCCCCAGAAAAATATCCTCGCCTGATCTTTCCGATATTGAAGCCATGACAAGTAGTTAGCCATGGTTAGATTTTGCATCGCCCGACCTCTCTCTCCCATCCTATCCAACTTATTGTAGATAAAAGTAATTGTAGTAGCATTCTCGACCATAAGTAATGTATGTACAAGTCTCCGTTCTTCAATCCATTGATGTGATATATAAGAAATTTGTGGGTTTCTTTCCTCTTTCCCATTTACTTCCTCTAGACGTCTGCAACCACATGTAGATCAACTCTTTGTTAATTTAACTCTCTTCCGACTTTCTTCTTCTCAGTCAACTGTATACATGTCCACGCCATTAAAACTGCTGGAGTTTGATCAGTCTGTAAATGTTTACAGGTAAAGGAGTGAATGGAACAACTTCTGTTAACTTCTTTACTCCTTTTGCAGTCCGCCTCTTCTTTAAATTAACAGATGTACCTATAAAACACGACTTTTTGCCTTCTGAGGTCAGCGTTGCTATTTTAGTGGTGGTTTAGTTGGCGGTGTTGAAAGCCATATCTTGTTCGATACTAAGACAGGTGAGGCGCCAGGTGCGGTAAAGAATGAAACAAAACTTGAAAGTTTTTTTTCTTCTGACAATGACTGATCGACTGGTAGGGGTGCTCCCCAATGGCTTTGTGAGGATACCATTATCATACAAAAGGTGAGAAAGCAATAATGTCGTATGGATAAAGTGTCTCCTACCATCTTCTGAATTTCCCACATTCTTTTCAGCCTTTTAGCCACACCG